TGGTTTCGCTCCCTCCCCCCTCTGTCGGCGCCTCCAGCCGCACCAGTTTGCTCTGGGTGGGCTCGGGGTCCAGGCTGCTCTCCAGGAGCTCGTCCACTTCCAGGGGTTTGTCAGCAGAGGCAGGGGTTTCGGCTGCAGAGCTCCCGCTCTCGGTGGCGGAGCCTGGGTTCCCGTCGAGAAACGCGAGGAGTGGAAAGGCCGTGTACTGTATGAGCTGCTTGTCTGAGGGGAAAAAAATGCCCAAAGCATCATCAGTTCACGTGCCTTTCTGTGTGCACAAGGAAAAAACAAAATCCAACCCACAGAATATATTTAAAGAGTAATTCATGAAAAAAAACCATCACAGGTGTTTGTTTTAAATCAGTCGTTAGAGAATTGTTACTTTCATGCATAACATTATTTGTTCAGATTCTCCTGCAAAAACATCAGTTTCTCTGCACCCGCTGCAGTGCCAAAGAGCTAAAAAGCAAATATAGTTAAGTATTTTCTTTGGGTTATTTGCTTTTCAGCATGACACAAAACCAGACAAAGAGCAAATAACTGAGATGGTTTTTAGAACAATGCTTGTTCAACTGTTCAACTGTTTCAGTGGAACGCCACAACTAACCTGATTTGGGCTTAGAAACTTGTGTTTCCTGCGATGCCGCTGGACCAGCGTTATTCTTGGTAGTTTCTATTCCCTTTGTCTCCATCTGGAAAAAAAAGCAAAATCTTAATCACACACTTAAAGCCTTTTCCAATGCCACTAGAACACAGCTGACAAACGATTAAAAAAAATTATATTTTTATTTGCGAAGGGATGCGGCGGTATCAGTAGACCTTGGCTGAGAAAGTGTGACATGGAAACACAGGCTTACCCAAGCAAGAACCAAACTAATGCTCATAAATGAACAGGACAATTTCAAGGAGCCAGGTCTTTGCTCTGCTGCTTGTTCTTGTGTTTCTTTTCCCACCAGACAATACAGATGAAACCATTCTGACAAAGCGTGCACCATGTTTGCAAGCACTAAAATCTTAGAGGATACAAAAGACAAGAGACTGGTACAATGTACAGGTATTGGTCTCGAGGTAATACGAGTTCTAAATGACGTTATTATTTCATGTGCTTTTCCCTTTTCTGTTTAAAACCTAACAAACAGGACAAATTCAGCTGCAGCCTTCCTATTCTCATGGAAGTCCTGAAAGCCAGAGCATGAAAAAAAGTGCTATCACACCTGTAAAGAAAACAGTAAAGGATGAGTCAAGTTTGCGTCTCTCACTACTGTGCACATTCAGCAATGGATTTAAGACTTACTTTGGTATTAGTGATATGATCTGTGGGATTCATCTGCACGGAGCTTGTAAAAAGCTGAATAAGACAAAACACATCAAGTTTTAGGTATCTCGATGTCGCTATTAAGAATACAAGAACATCACATCTGCATGTGTGAGAATAATCCCTGTACTTCATGTTTTCACCCTCTATCAGGATTAGAGTTTATTTACAGGCAGTTACCACTTCTGCAAAGAAAACCTAGCTTTGGAGCATAATGGTTTGGAATTCCATGAACCTCAGTCCCAGAGGAAACAACAATATTACATCTAACTTAAGACTAACATGGCTTGTTGCAGTCTTAAAATACCGATTCCTTCTTACGTTGCTGCATGGAGAATTCTGTGTACAATAAGGAAGAACACACCCTGACCAAGTTTGCGAGTGACACCAAACTGGAAGGAGGCATCAATACAGGGGAGAGCAGAGCTGCTGTTACGAGGGACCTCAGTGACGTGGGAGAGGGGCCAACAGGCGCTCCATCAGGTTCAACAGCCACACTCATTTAGGACACAACAGCCTCATGCACTGGCCCCGGTTAGGGAACAACGGGACAGGGAGCAGCTCCTCAGAGAGGGGACAGACAACACCCTACCCTGAGCCAGCAGCACGGCCTTGCTCCAGGGAGGCGGCTCCGCGACAGGCCAAGCACAGCCAGGAGCTGACTGCAAGCAATTATTTCTCCCTGCGCAGCACCTGAGGCCGCTTGTGGAAGTGTCCAGTTTTAGGCCTCCCAGTACAAGAGTTTTCAAACTACGGGGCGTCCGGAGGGCCAGAGATGTTTGGGGGATTATGATATACAAGAGGCTGAGGGAGCTTGGCTCGTCTTGTCTGGAGAGGGCAGACAAGGGAGGATAACTGCACTCCTCCACTGCTTCTACAGAGGTCTTACAGGAAGATAAAACTCCACAGAGGCGGACAAAGGACGAGAGGCAAGAGCTACAAGCTGCAGCAGGGAAAAGTGTGACCGACATAGGGAAATTCTTCACAGAGAAGAGTCAAGAACTGGAACAGGCACCCGAGAGGCTGTGGAATCTCCCATCTTTGGAGATTTCAGAATCTGAGTCAACAAGGCCCTGAGCAACATGATCCAACTTTCGAGCAGTCCCTGCTTTGAGCAAGGGGGCTGGACTAGATGACAGGCACAGGTCCCTTCCAACCTAAACCATTCTACTCGACACAAGTCTGAAGAGAAATTGAGAACATATACACTCCTAAGAAATAACCTGAAATGGCAGAGAAACTTGTAAAATAAATGCCAAGAGCCTTTTTAACCCCAGTTCATCGAGAAGGCCACAGATGATGTACTGGGCTATTTCAAAGCAAGACTATTAACCTAATCCGTGTCTGAGTTCATGTAGCAGCAAATATAAGCATTATTTCATTAAGAAAGCTACGCTTCAATCAAAAACTTAAGCATTCACTTGAGCAGTGGTGTAGCACTGAGAATTATACCACTGTCCCAGAAACATATATTCACAAGTATTTAAAACTTCCCTTTTTTAAAGGGAAAAAAGGCAAAAAAAAAAAAAATCTGTTGTGTTTTAAATCTATTTTAAACAGTAACAACGCACACAAATATTTTCTGTAGTGTATTACCAAAATACTTAAAATAAACAGTGAAAATTACATCGACCAGGAGATCTGGATCTATGCTGAATTGTCGTCCTGATAACATAGCTTGGAAGTCCTCTAAACTGCAGTCGATACTGTCAAGATAATCCAGAAGTTCAACTCTAGAAGACAAACAATATTTTATTGCTGTATCCCTTAACAAAAGGAAGAAAAATCCACAAGTAAGCTTTACACCGATGTACTACATGCATCTAAAAATCTTCACCAGAACTAGAATGAACTAAGTCTTTCATTATAAACAACCTCTGGAAAAAAATGAAAACTTTTAGCCTCTTTATGAGAGAACCCAAATAAAGCAGACAGGTGCTCCAAAACAGATACCACATCCACCTAACACCATGACATGACATTAGCAGAGATGCGATTCTTGCATCCAGGTAGCCCTAATGAGTCCCATCTGCCTGCAAGAGCTATGCAGATAAACCCTGACAGTTTAAACAATGATATCCACAACATGACACTGTCAGATTATGCACCCCAACTCACTCGCTTCACGACGAAAATCAGAGTTCCCACCTTAAAACAGAAGGATCTTTAGAAACTGGCTAGAATAAAGGTGACCTATAAACTGTAAGTTCTCAACAGAAACTACTATTCAGTTCTTTTTACTTCAGTGAAACAATCAGTTCTAATACTTGAAAAAACAAAAGACCAGGCTACTCACTTTCCAAGAAGATTTATATTCTGTGAAATTACTCCGTTCTCATTGAGTATGGAATCCATCATCGAGACCGGATCTTCTGCAGTTAAAGTTGACTGGTTATTCAGCTGTACAGCACTTGACATGAGTGGGCTTGTACTGTCACTGACAGGGCTGAGGGGATCATTAGCTGGGACAGCAACTGATTCTGTGCTTTTATCCCCTTGAATTACAGGGGCATATTCTTCTTCGCTATCATCTTCCACAATTACAATATCAGGAGAATGACTACAGCTGTAACATGAGACAAATTAATTAGAGCATCTCATACACTCATTTAAATTGGTACTATTCCACAGGTTTAATTACTTCTCATTTTAGTCAAGCTACTATAAGGAAATAAAACTTTCCTACTGCTTTTTAATACGAAACACAGCAAGATACTCTAAGTATCTATCTTCCGTTGATATGGTGCTGTAATGCTCAATACAGTTAATGCAGCTCAGCTAGCAGACACTGTTGTGCTAGACCACAATAACAACTACTAAAAAGATACAGGAACACTGATATCTTTTGCATTAGAACAACGGTAAGCTTGCATATAAATGTAAAGTATGTATGAAGTGGACCAAGGCATATGAGGCCACCAAACTAGACAGACAATATATATTTTGCATCTTTCCTGTTGAACAGAATCAACTCTGGAGCATCCATAACAAAGGATCTCAGTCGACAGTGTTTTAGTTAATTAACCTTGTTATGTATACCAGGAAGGCAACCTAAAAACCGAGAGAGAGTCTCAAATAATTTGCTTTCATCCATATTCTGGTTTTCTTAACCCTTAAGTAGCTGTTAGTTGTGCTGCCTTTCTATCACAGCCTTATCTTCATAAAGCTTTTCTATCAGAGAATGCATTCCCAGACATCAGCTGAACAAGAACAATGGTACCAGTTCAAGGATAAGCCAAAAATATCTCAGTTTTGTTCCTTGAGGCATAATACAGGCCTTATCAATACAACGCAACTCAGGCAGAGAGTCACATCTCAATCCCTGGACCAAGTTTCAACTGCTCATAGCTGAAAGATGAACTACTTCTATAGTGCAAAGTACAGACAAGAAGGAACACACTCACAAAACACTTGGGACTGAAAAAGCCCTGAAATTTACTGGCTTAATGAAGTTCAAAGACTGCACCAACACTTGACAAACAGCACATGCAAATTATTCTTCATAAAAATCTGTAAAAACAAGGAAAGTCATTCCTCTGTGTATTCGTAACCAAAAGTAAGAAGACATCACTTACTCTGTCTTTGGACAAGTAGTATATTTGACAAGAGTGCAATAATACAGATAGCTTCTCACTAGTTTCTAGCCTCCACATATTAAAACTCCAACAGCCAATTAACTATTAGGAACAAATCCAGAGGTCAATAAAACAGAACCTAGTGTGAATTCACAGATGAAGCTTCTATATGTGCAAGAGTACTGAATAATTCTGACCACTTCATTAAAAAAAAAATAATCTCAGACTTCTGAATTATTGCGTGTTATACAACACTGAAAGCCAATTATCTATATAGACTTCTAGAGACTTCTTACTTGGAAGAATCTGAAGTGATATCTTCACTTGCTTCTGGTGTAATGGGAAGATTTTCTTCATCACCCATGGGATTTTCTTCATCACCCACATCCTCAGTGACATCATAAATAATGATGTCATCTGAAATCTGTTCCCTTTGTTTTAAGCCCTCATTCCTGTTGAGAGGTACCTGAGAATTATTTTAAAAAGAGTGAGGGGACAGTAGGACAATGAGCTTCAGCATTCTGACAGTTATCATTCTATCTTACAATGCTTCAATTCTAAAGACGTGTAAGAGCTTTCCTACACCTCGGAGATTACAAGCTGTTTGTATAGATCTACACTTAACAGAAAAAACATACAAATAAATGAACAAGCTGGAGAACAGCAGCTACAGAGAAAAATGTTTGGCAAATACTACAGACATAGAAATAAAAATATACTAGCACCGTCAGCAAAAGCAACAAAAAAGCTGGAACAACAGGACTACACAAGAACTAAAAATATTAAAACAGCGACTGTCATTTAAATAGTACTTTGCTATAAAGCTGTTAATTCTAGTACCATGCTACAGCACTCATTCTAATGATTTTCCCACCAACCATTATTTGGACAGCAGAAAATAACTTTCAGTGGCATGACACACTCAAGTGGCCTGAGAACCTGACACGATTTTGTTGGGTTGGATGGTGCCTTGCAGAGCAACATGCTGGATCCTTGTCCCTGTACGGGGCTAGGGGCGCCTCACTCCCAGAGATAACAACACAACATACATATGCTATTTCTAACAGTACTATTATTAAAAGCAAGCTGCTTGTATTTAATACACAGGTAACTGGCTTATACATGCTTATGTTGAAAAGTGAATGGTGATTATCAACACACTTGACTTCTGAAGGAAACACAACATGGCATATCACTTCTAAAAGCTGATAGTTCTCAGGACACAGCTATGTTTTATTCCCCATAAGGCAAGCTACTTGATCTGCCTGCCCCCCTCTGCTCCTTCCTCCTTCATAACAAAGAGTACGCATAAAAGAAAACTTACATGGTGGTTACTGTCAGCTGGGTCTTTCACAATCTGTTGAAATACGTTCGACTTTGTAGGTCCATTAGTGTTCAGAAGTAGAGGCCTAAATCAGAAAGAGTAAAGGAAGAAAACCATCTCAAAACTAATTCTTTGGTTTGAGTCAACAAAGCATGTCAGTATATTGACTGGACAGCAAGTTTTCAAGACCATATTTACCTCTTGCGTTTTAGGCTCACTAGTTGGTTATTCTGCACCAAGGTAACAATAAATTGTACAATCTGAAAGGGAAAGAACACTACTGTTAGTCACTCTACTCTGTAATTGTTTCTCTCAGAGTACCAAGATACCTTATGGAAGAAAACTTCAACAATAAAATCTATACATAAACAGCAGATCACTTATTTTGTGTAGTAACTCTCATATAGAACTGTTCAGAAAAGTTAGAGATCATGGTAGAATGGAAAACACTGCTGGTAATAACTAAAAAGAACAGAATTATTCAGTTTTCACATAGCAGGTGATAAGAGTAGACTTTTACACCACATCATACAGTACACAGAAAACCATCCAGTAACTCAAACTATTAGAAGAAGTCTAATAAGCAATGAAAAGAAGGCACAAAGGGATGGATGTTGACTGTATACATAACCTGTATCTGTAAATACTGGTTCTGGTGAAAGGCATTTTTGACAGATTCAGAAAAAATGACACGTACACTTAAGAGTATTCATCAGCTGCCTTTCCTTTTGAAATGTTAGACTTTCTTCCCTGATGTTTTAAATTTAAGAATTAAATGTATGTATCTGGCTTGAGCAAACTGGAAAGAAAAAATCATTAAGAGTCTCTGCTACAAGGCTGCTTTCTACAAGTGTTGCTATTTCTGATGCGTGGAAAAAAGAAAAATAAAATCTGTAAACTCTTTGCATTTAGATCAGTTTTCATAGATACTCCACTCTTGTGAGGCCCCACTTGGAGGCCCCTTGCATTCAGCTCTGGGGCCCCCAACATAAGAAGGACATGGACCTGCTGGAGCAGGTCCAGAGGAGGGCCACGAAGATGATCAGAGGGCTGGAGCACCTCTCGTATGAGGACAGGCTGAGACAGTTGGAGTTGTTCAGCCTGGAGAAGAGAAGGCTCTGGGGAGACCTTATAGCAGCCTTCCAGTACCGGAAGGGGGCCTACAAGAAAGCTGGAGAGGGACATTTTACAAGGAAGCACAGCAACAGGACAAGGGGTAATGGCTAAAAAATGCAAGAGGGCAGATTTAGACTAGATATAAGGAAGCAGTTCTTTACTGTGAGGGTGGTTGGGCTGCAGATGCCTCCTCCCTGGAAGGTGTTCAAGGCACGCTGGATGGGGCTTTGAGCAACCTGGTCTAGTTCAAGGTGTCCCTGCCCATGGCAGGGGGGGGGAAGTAGATGATCTTTAAGGTCCCTTCAAACCCAAACCATTCTATGATTCTATCACCATAAATCTAACTGTTAAACTAAGCTAAGCTAACATATTATCGGTGGGTTTCACTCAATAATCTATTCTTCTGGTAACTTCAGAAACAGACAGTCAGGGGGTCAGTTAAGCGGGACAGTAGTGAATTTCCAATACAGAACTTTGTAATTCTTGCAGTGAGAAAGTTTTTCCAGAGATCATCCAACACAGAATATTAGTCATCCAATTCCTGAAGCAATAAAAAATGGATGGACCATTTTAAGGGTACCTTAATGAATGATGTGTGATGTTCTTGAACCTCTTTCTTTGAAAATGTTTACATGAGTTTGGCCTGATCTTCTGCTTACGTGGTAAAATACACTGAATGTTTGTTTCACAAAGATTTGTTCACCATACACCACCCTGTTGTTTTTTCTATTAAAAAGACATTTCACACGCTACAAAAAAGAGTGAGGGCAAAGTAAGGTAACATGCGGCACAGTATTCCTAGTTCAGAAGCACTCACTCACTCATTCACATATCACACCTGAATGAAGCCTTACCTTCCGAATAACTTGCTGTTGTTGCAAGTGTTTTGCTCTCAGTTCTGCCACTTCCCTCCAAAGGGATTCATTCTCCCTGTTTGAAAAGAACGATTTAGAAGTCAAACTAAAACTAAGTTTTAAAATATTTACATTAATCATTTTTGTTAAAGATTAGTTGGCTTCATTAAAGCTCTTTGAAATGTCTTTTTAGATTGGGGGGGAAGTCACACAGTCAGCAGCCTTGGCAAATAATTACAAAATGGAGACCCAAACACAACAAATAGCCTGCAGAGAATTTCCAGCCCCCTTAAAAAAAAAAAAAAATCCCAAATTTGGCAATACTTATTACACATACATTCAGCATTTAAAAATTAACTATTTTGTTTCCTTTCCTGTAACAAAGTTACCTTCTCCTCCTCCTTCTAGAAATCAAACCCTAAGGAACTAAATAAAAAAAAAAAAATCCAAGCATACAAATGGTTTCTGGTAGCAGCAAAGGACCAAACGGCATAAGAATGCAGTTTCCTCTCACTGCTAAAAAACAGAGTTCTTCATCTATATCAAGCCTGTTTGTCCTCCCTCACACACCTCTTGCTAGATGCAAGCCACCTGTCAGCAACAGTACATCCACCTTGAAACCACCTTTACAGAACAAGCTCTCAACTCACAGATGCAGCTGTAGGTCATCCTAACAGTTGCCTCTACTAGCTCCAGTAGAGGCATGTTAGATGCTAAAAAATAACAGGAGCACTGCAGAGATGGCAGTTTTCATGAAACACTGCCATTTTACAAACCTTGGCTGTTCCAGTACTCATAGGAGTCCAGTTACTGAGACAATATAAAAACTGCCTGGCCCTTGCTATCGTATCCATGAACCTCATTGTTTCCAACAGCATAAAGCATATCAAGAGGTAGATAATGAATACCAAAAGCTTCAGTGAATAAGGAAAGACAACATACCACCCTGCTCTCTTCTGCAGTTTAGTTTTCAACACAGATGTATGCCAAAAAAGGAGGAAAATCTCTCCACTGGTGTTTGGGTTTTTAGGAAACCTTTAGTTTTCAGAAACAGCTGTTTATATGCAGTGTGATGAAGCTTATTACTCACTCTTCAAACTGCTCCTATGTCCAACATACAATTTAAGAGTACAGTTCCATCACAAATTCGACAACTGAGGTCAGGGATTCTGAACTTTCTCCATTTCTCACCAGCTTTGTTAACATGTTTTGTAGGACTAGGTCTTCTGATTTAGTTCCAGTTTCCACCTCAATCATTTTAAACTCATGGGACAACAATATGGATGCCAATGACCAACCATTCTACCTTCTCATCTCTACAAACCGTCAGGCCATTAGCAACAGGATGTCATTTCAGCCAAAGTCAGCCCTGCTCTGGGCAGGGGTTTGGACCTGACGGCCTTCTGAGGTTCCTTCCAAGCCAAATTAGTCTGTGATTTGAAAGGGGTAAATATGAACATTTTTACCCTAGACTGGCCAGATTATAATAAAGACTCTTCCAAGACAAAATAAGTTTGCCTCTGAATATTCTACCACTCAAGTAATTACAACTGAAGACTAGAAATGACAGCATTTACTTCTTAAAACTTGAACTAATCAGTGACCTCTGCCACAGAGGTACACAATCATTTACATTCCCAAGTTAATATAAGTTCAGGAGTCCTGAGATTACTGTTGAGGTGCTGTGACTTACAGTGCATGAGCTTATGCTCATATATCCTATCTGTATCTACATACTCTAAAGGACTAAGTAATTTGTGACACACATCTTTCTCATTGCTGAGAATAAATTGTAATTACCTAATAGGTAATAATGCAATTCTAAAAATACTCTATTTACATTTGGATTTTAGATTCTGTACCTCTGACGCCAAGGTAACTAATGAATTTCCAAATTAGATTTTTAAACAGATTTTCATAGGCGTTAACTCTTCTGCGATTTTTAGCAGCAAGGGAATGAAAATAACAACAGGAAAATAAAAAGCAATGAGCAAAGACATTAATTGTAGTAAGAAAGCATTATAAGCAATTTGCACAAACCAAACTCTGCCTCAAACTAAACACAGTAACTACTTCAAACTTGAAGACATAAAACAGCACACTTTATGCTAAGAGCCATGTTAAATACTCAGCCTCAGCAACATTACGGAACTATGATTAAAGGCGTTATTTAATTGCCCACTACTAGACAGTTCTTCAAACACCAACATTGCGTATTACTTTTAGCCATACCAGAATATTCAATTTTCAATGCAATTCTTTTATTGAAATTTATTTTCCTAAAGCAGTTATTTAAAGTTAGGCAATAAGAAATCAAGAAACACCTAAAATTAGGTCTTTGTCTGTTATCTATTATCAGAATTACTCAATTTTAGGGATCAGTTGCTGATGGAGCAACTTACCTCTTCAAAACAGACAATCGAGATTCAATAGTCTCTTGTTTAATTTGCACCTTTTGAGCACTACTTATTATTTTGGAGAGATCTTCCTGACGTATCTTGTTTTCTTCAGGTCTCGAAGAAGAAACCTTTAAAAGATTAGAATCCAGAAACAACACTTTCCTTTACTCATTGTTAACTGTTATTTTCCTTTGGTGATCAAGTATGTTTTCTTCTAGTGTTGACAAACAAAGTTAGTAATAAACCAAACATCAAGCAATAAAAAATACAGAAACACACAGAAATGTCCTCTTACAGCTCTCGCCACATTAGCTTTAGTTTGTGTACATTCAGATTCTTCAGGCATTCTCCTAAGTGCTGTACTTCATCATAACTGCTTCACAACAACCCAATGCTAATAAGTACATCCCTCTCACAACAGTTTAACTTGCCATATTTCTATTCGAGATCTATGTTCACCTGACTCGCAATAACAGCAGAGAACATTTCAGCATCACACTTAGCAGCATAACAAACGTGTTTATAGGTTTGCCCCCTCTTCTTTTTGGTGGGAAGTTTAATGATTACAGTAGCTTTGTTCTGAAACAAGCTACATAAACAAGCAAATCGTTATATTATTGATGGTAAAGTCAAAGCATGCCCTGCACTTCTTCTAACAGTCATTTGCAAAATGTCGTATTTGCGTAACTCGCTCATTTTTGCCACCTGTGAAACTTACTATAATGACAGCAAAGCAGGTTAAATAAAGGAGCCTAGTCAAATCCCCCCCAAATATCTTTAAACAAGCCAAGATATATATGAGAGCAGTGCAGTTTGCTTCCTCAAACTCCAAACTTATTCGCACTCACAATCCTGCAATTAAACTTGACATGAACTTTGCTATTCATTCACACTTACTGGTACAGGTTTTCCACATACTGAGTTTTCACTAACCTTCCTTTTAATGTGTTCCAACAAGTCCTCCCGGCCCTGCTTAAAATACGGGTGCTGAAACTCTACTGGACCATCTCGCTCCTGTTTGACAATCCCAGAATCAACATGGACAACTTTACGGAAGCCATCTTTAAAAAAATGAAACAGAAAAAAGAAAAAAAAAAAAACTCTGAAAACCCACATTAAGAAATTCAAACTATGCTGTTCCAACTATCCTTATATCAGTTCTGAGGATCAGACAGTCTCCTAGTTGCAGAGAACACAGGGCCACTGCTCAAAGGAAATTGTCTATAACTGAACACGTACAGGATCTAGACCTGTGCTAGAAAGCAAAAAACCAAGAACTTACACATGTTTAACTGTCTGACAAAGCTTGCCATGTTGTTGTGCTTGAAGTACTTGGGAAGAATCTCTTTTGCGAATCTCTGTTCATCCAACACCAAGAAACTCTGGCCATTCTAAAATGAGAGAGACACATTAAACTACTTAAAGACCATTGCAGAAAACACGCTGGGCTTTTAGAATTAATCACCAGATAGGAATGTTTCCTTTGTGCATGCAGTACGTAACCGATCTGCTTGCTTACAATTTTCCACAACAAAAAGTGTACAAACCCTGCAGTTGCAAAGCAACAGAGCATTATCAATTTACATCGCTATCCATACCTGAAGGGGAACATCTCTGTTGTTACTCATTGCTTCCTCAAGAAATGAATTAATTGTTTACCAGCAATTATCACAGTTTAACTACGGGACAATACTATCAATTTTGTATGTAGCTTCAAAGTATTGGAAAGGAATCTAACAAACAGACTGCGCAAGTGAAAAAACCCAACAACCAGCTGAGAGTCCCTTCTGCTTTCCAGTATAAAAGCGTGATTAGCTTGGTAAGACTTGTAGAGCAGATGGAGCTGTCAAAGAGCTGAGGGTGTCCACTGGGTTTTGGAGTTACCAAAAAGGTAACCACCCAAGGCAATATCCCCCTCCTCCTGGGATGCCAATTGTGAGGGAGGACTGATCTTTTATTTCATCCACAGGCTTTGACTAAAATAGAAGGCGCAGCTCTTTCTTCTTCAGTGACTGTGCTCCATTAACTAAAGGACAAATAAGTGGCAGAATCCAAATTAGCTACTTCAAAATGGCTTAGGTTTTGTCTGTACATCCCCAGTACGCTCACCCTGTAATTAATGAGAAGCCTATCATCTTCGACAAATGTCAACACTGATACTGCATCTTCTTAGACGCCCTTTAGTTCAACGAGTCACGCATGTTTCTTACCCCCAAATGCCAGCAGTTCTATGATCCCAAGAAGCCTGAAAAACCAACCATGAGACCATGTGAAGATCCTTGCCCAAGAGCTTGTTCCTGACAAACCAGCAAGGATTGTCAGAAACAGGATTTACAGATGGCTCACCACTGGATGAGTTAGGAGCTTAAGACTGAGAGGAAGGTGGGAAGATGAAAACTTCCCAGTAATGCCCATCTACCTCCTGCTGAGAGCCAGTCAGGGGAAGGGAAAGGGGAAGCAAAGGAAGGGCAGGAACAGACCATTTTAGCCGCTGCATTAATGAAACTCACCAGCTGGAGGCAGTCAAACAAGCATCACTACAGTGCCCTGTCACGCCAACAGACAGCTTTCATGCGGCACCTCACTTTATTGTCACTTTGACATCGTTCAGGCATAGTGCAGAAAAATCTGGGAAACACATCTCCTAGTTCTTGTTGCCCTGGCAGTCCTTTACAGCAAAGCTGTACAGACGTTAAGGCCTGACTTGAACTCACTGGAGCATTACTACATAGCTAAATACAGTTCTCAAGTCCTCGTGTTACTGACTGCAGCATACAGCAATTTTCCAAGTACTCCACCTGGTACTCCTTGTACGTGTTTCCACGGACACCACACACCCATGGCTTCACTGAGATGTGTATGCAGGGAGACAAAATTTGGCTCTTCAGTTTCAGACGGTGTTTATCCTTTCAGTGTAAGGATACGGATTTGTATAGGGGGAAGGTGAAATATTGTAGTAACTGTACTTTTCCTCCCCTGCTACACTTGGTACATTTTCTGTATCCCATAACAGTGACATAGCATATTTTTAAAAGATGTCATCACTTGTGTACCAAGTGATCCCAATACCTTCCTCCACACAAGAACTGCTGGATGCTGATAACATCAACTGTGATTAGCGGATCTTCCTTCCATAAACAGCCTCGCAGGATCTCAAACAATTAGTCTTTATTTTTAATTAAGAAAATAATACCAGGATACCTAACAATAGCCTTGGTGTGCTTACTTGAGAGCAAGCAATGAATTTGAAAAGTCTCCATTAAAAGCCTAAGGTGGCAAAAATGGCACTTCTTAAGCTAGACAACATCTGGATCTTCATATAGCCCTTAGCATCTCTCTTCCAAAAAAAAAAAAGGAAAAAAAAAAAAAAAGGAAAAAAAAAATAGAAGGAAAACCTGCCGTAATCTACCGATTCTACCTGCTTCCTTCTTCAGGGCCTTTTGGCTGAAGTTACTGGTAACTCATTATCAGTAAAACGTTTAAGAAGACATTTCATCACTGCTTGAGCATGTAAAATAAATCCGGCTGAGAGCTACCATCTCAACACCACTCGAAGACGTTGATACAGTTTGAGAATAGTTTTTTTTATTATAAATTATTTTAAAAACATGTAAGATATAGAGAAGAATAAAGTTATTATTAAAAAAACTGCTTAGCATGTATCTCAAGAGGTAATGATGCTTACTGCAGCAAACCTGCCAGCCCTTCATTAGTTTGTGAGAAGGTGGTTACTTCCCACCTTCCAATATTTTAAGATGCTTATAAACTTTGTGCTCTGATAACGCTTCTTCGTTATTCACTACAACAGGCTGCACTAGAATATAAAGGATTCAAGATGAAAGGACATCCAACTCAGGTTTTCCGTTTTTTTAAAAACAATCAAAGTAGACGTATATCAACAGGACCACTGCACACGTTTAACCCGCAGATCCCAGCAAAGGGACTTCAGTTGCCGAACCAGAGGCAGGTGAACGCTTGTGCCCCCCATCACTGCTGACGGGTACCCGATGTGACTTTCTCCAGAGGGATGCCCGTGATCCACCCCCTCCACGCCGCCCCCCAGCAGACGACCGGGGCGGC